GATAAAAAAGGGTTAAATTATTGGAAAATAAGTCGGAAAACGACTCAATAAACACCCTAAAAGTGACATAAAAATCACTTATCAGTAGGTGCCGCTTGATCATGCATTAACATAAAAGCAAATTAATAGTGAACTAAACATGCATGCATATCGAAATAAGGTTCAATCTAACCGCAATCCAGGGTTAATCGGTTTCTCCTAACATAACTTATATGTTTCCACACTATAACCATATATTGGGAGGTGCAATCAAAGACCAATCGATAGTAATGAACCTTAACTAAGTCAACTTCGGTTCCTTGTTAGCAAAGATTCACCTTTAATCAACCAACAATGTGCACTTGCAAGAAGATCAAAGAATATTAAGCATGTAAATATTTTAATCGCAATTAACTTAATCTCAATATTATAAGCATGAACAATTAGCAAATACACCATCCCCACACCCTTGGCTAAGTGACTACATACAAATCATGTTGAAAACAATATCAATCACCAAATCCATAAGCATTAACATGATTAATAAGCAAAGAAGGAAAATCAAAGTAAACAAGCAAAATTAAATGCAAAAGTAAAGAAAAAGAGTAAGAGATTGCTCATTAATTAAAGTTGAAGATCTACAAAAGATTAAACAAGCTTCTTCCTCAATATCCAAGTTCATCAATGAAGAAATCCACACTTTCAATCTCTACCAAATAAAGACTAATAGTGTTTCACTCTCTAAATTAAGCTAAAAAGTGCAGAAAATTAAAACTAAGTTAATCTAATTACATCAAAGCATTCTCCAAAATGGGACTTATATAGTCCGTACACAGCGAGATGAAATAAAGGAGTGGTCCGACCGAACACTGGGAAGGTTCGGCCGGACTACAGGGTAGGTTCGGTCAAATGTCCCTGATCTTCATCATGTCAAACTTCTGAGGTTCGACCACTCCTGCAAAATTGCCAAAATGCAACTTGACTCTGCCTCGACGTTTGACCGGACCACTGAGCAAGTTCAACCACACCCTGGTTCTGCCACACCTTCAGGGGGTTCGGACGAACCTCTCCTGAATCTTGCTTCCTTCAGCTTTCCTTGAGCTTAGCTTCCTCCTCTTGAAAACCCCGGTGGTTCCTACAAAGCATAAGCATGAAAATCAATGTAAAGACTAGGAAAAGGGGAAAAATCTAGGAAAAAAGATGCATAAAGGGAAATGGAACAAAGTGCAAAGAAAAGGATGCAAACAAGCAGCAAATGTGGGAAAATGACCATCAAAATGAACCATACTCGTTGCATAAATGCCACTCATCATTTGACAAAATTAGGAAGATTTCTCAGCCGGTTAGGTGACAAATGCCTTTATGTCTTCCAAGCAATCGGGAAGAAGACTATATTTGAATGGGGGGATGATGTTGAGGTGGCCTTCCAAAATTTAAAAGAACACTTGCACTCTTTGCCAAAGCTAGTAAGCCTTCTGCCCAAAGAGAATTTATACATGTACTTAGCCGTCTCAGACCATACCCTCATTGCCGTTCTCCTTGCTAAAAGAGACGGCATCTAGCTCCCGGTCTATTTCATTAGCCATGTGCTTTGAAATGCTGAACTCGGTACCCTATGTTTGAATGTTTTGGCCTGGCCATTTACATGGCAGTCAAGAAGTTGAAAACGTACTTTTTGGCGCATTCGATTGTGATTGATGAGTGTCATTTTTGGCACTCATTTGGTTCTGTTTAGGGTGGAATTCATGCTATTTTACAGCTCTTTTTCTTTATTTTTCACTTAGTTTTATTCTTTATTTCTTTAGTTTGCATTTTCTTAGCCGATTTTCTATTTTTATGATGTTCTTGGTTTATTTTGCTATTTTCTCTTTTATTTGTTTGTTTTCGTTCAGTTTTCAGGTTAAGATCATAATCTGAGGATTCTCGAGTCTCCTTTCCAAGTGTTTCTTTGTTTGAGATTCCCCCTTCCTAACATTTGAAGTTCAAGTTTGAAGGAGCGCAAAGTCTAAGTCTTCTAGCTAGTGCATTCAAGCGGTGAGGGAAATATTCTGGGTGTTGAACCCACCATGGAGACTATTTAAAGACTGCCTCCTTCCGTGTTCATCAACATCATCAAGTAGAGCGTGAAACTCTAGAGTTTTAGATCATTTTGTAAAGAGTGAAACTATAGGTTGTTGAGAGAGAAGTTCTTGATTGATGATTGAAGATTGATGATTCTAAGTTTTTTTTCCATTGATTTGAGGCAAGTTTGTAAGGATTTCTTTAACTTTAATACAATATTTATCTTTGATTTACTTAATTTTTGTTGATTGTTGAATTTCATTGAATTTTTTATTGGATTAGTTTGATTAGATTGATGATGATTAATTTGATGAATTGTGTAGCTTTGCTTTTAATTTCTTTAATGGATTGTGAGTATTTTTCTTGCTAGGGATGTGGTAAAGCATGTTTAAGTAATGGATAAAAATTAATTGAGGGTTTTTTATTGATTTGGTTGTGTGATTAAATTGGTTGATTGATTTTGTGCATGTGTATGATTTGTAGGTAGTGATCAATCTTGTTTTCAGGCTAGTTTCATAGTAAGTTCACATTGATACGGAAAATTTATTTGTGTCTTACATTTGCTGATTGAGTTGTCTAGTGAAGTTCCTAGCTAGAGTCTCCCGTAGTTGGTGCTAGTTTGACCTCTAGGAGAATAACTATTCTAGCTCTCTCGATTGCATTATCGTTTTTTCTTCGCATTGCTTGAATCAATCATTGCCTATCCCAATTAATCCGTGTTCATTACATATGCATGTAGATCCAATTCCTAGTGTCTAGGTACTTTGTTTTCGCTTTTTGTTGGATTGGTTGAATTGTTACCCTACACTTCGTCAAAACCTTCGAAATAGCTTAGCTTTAGCATTATCATTCACCTCCCATTCCTAGTGGTTCAACCCTTCACTTACCCCTATACTAGTTATTAGGGTGTGTTGAGTGAATACAAATTTTGTTTGCCTGGGGCAGATTAGTCCAACAACCTAGTCTCTACCCTTAGTCAAAATGGCGCAGTTTCCGGGGAATGGCGTAGTTGTTTGCTATTGTCGTTGAGTCTATTTCAATAAATTTCGAAAATACTGAAAGGCAATATTTGTAGCCATGTTACTAATATTTTCATTTGAGTTTGTGTGTACAAGTTAACATGGGAGAAGTCTCGAGGGTTACATTGAAGGAGTTGGGCACTCCGGGTGCATACAAGTATGAGAGCAGGATTACTCCATTATTTATCCTGGATAGTGATTTTGAAATCAACCTGGCAATGATAACTTTGATTGAAAGGCAGCAATATAGTGGAGGAGTAAATGAAATTACCCTCAATCATCTTAAAAAGTTCGAGAAATATTGCAACACAATTAAGGTGAACGGGAATGCTCAAGAATTCATAAGGATCAAGCTATTTCCTTTCTTTCTAATTGGAAGAGCTCAAGAGTGGCTAGACAAGGAAGTGAAGCATAATTCTTTGAGAACTTGTGATGAAGTCACCAAAGAATTCCTTTCCCGTTTCATCCCGCAAAAGAAAACGGCGGAGGCAAGAGCTTTGATTCAAGGTTTCAACCAAAGGTCTAGTGAAAGCCTCTATGAAGCATGGGAGAGAAACAAAGAGTATCAACACGAGTGTCCTCACCATGGAATCCCCACTTACCTAATCGTTTAATTTTGTATGGTGGTTTGAGTCCTCGAGTGAGGTCAAGTCTTGATGTCGGAGCCGGAGGCCCAATCATGAATAACACCGAGGAGGAGGTTGTAGATATCATTAAGGATGTAGTTAGACACTAAATAGAATGGAAAGATGATGAGAAAGAGCCAATAGACAAGAGTAGCACTATGGGATGCTCGATTGAGCAACTCTATGATATTAACAATTTGTCAACTCAAATTTCAGACGTAGGGAAGGAAGTAGTTTTTATTAATTTTCAGCTCGAGAGTGCAACCTCACAAGCACCGATTCATCCCCCCCAAATTAAGGGGAGAGTTACACCTTCTTCTCCTATCACTCTTCCCTCTTCTTGTTGTATGGTTAGAGAATTTTGGTCTTGTGATTTACATGGAATGAATGATCATGATGCTTCTATTTGCCCTAATTTTCCTTGTGATGAATGTGTTGGGAATGAGAATGAACATGTGAAATTTGTTCCTAATAATAATGTTGGACCGAGATTTGATGTTCAAAGAAATGTTGGGAATAGGAATTATCACAAGCAAGGGACCTATGATAATTATAACAAAAATAGTGGTTATAGAAACTATGGAATCCAAGGGTAGTTATAAAAACCATTGTTATAATCGTTAAAGTCATGGCCAAGGATATAGGGATTGTAACCAAGGTTATGGTAAACATAATCACGATTATGGCCAAAATCAATGTAGAGGTAATTGGAGTAATCAAACTAGGGGAAATCTTCAAATAAATGTTCAAAGAGTTACCCCACTTGGCAAATACCCAAGGCCAAAGTGATAATTATTATGATAAACCATTTTTTTCTAAGAGTTTCTTAGAGGATGACATAGAGAAGCAAGCCAAATTGTTGAACACCTACATGACCCTAATTAATGAGAAGTTTAATGTCATGTTGACTTACCAAAAGGGGTTGGAGACCCAAATTTCTCAATTGGCTAGTGAGTTTAAGGAATTTACAAATATTTTTTCTTTGACTTCGCCAAGTTTAGATCCTGAGAGCCCTGTAAATGCGATTGTGACTAGGAGTGGTATGGTCCTTGAGAGTGAGGTTTCTAAAATAGTGATGCTAAAGAGAGTCCTAGCAAGAGTCAAATTGAGAATAAGGGAGATGAGAACCCTATGTTTGAGGAAGTTTATAAGGAACAAGTGAAGAAGGTGAAATAGAAAGAAAAACAAGTCTTCAAGCCCAAGCTCCCTTAGCCCCAAAATTTAATAGCGCAAATTGGATATGCAATTTGGGAAATTTATAGAGATGCTTAGACAACTTCATCTTACTCTTTCTTTCATCAATGTGATAGAAAAAATGCCAAATTATGTAAAGTTCCTTAAGGAGATATATAGTGGAAAGAGGACATGTGATGTTACGGAAACGGTTAGCTTGACCGAGAATTGTAGTGCAATCATAATGAACAAAATTCCACCCAAGTGGAAGGATCTCGGAAACTTTACTATCCCTTATGCTATTTATAAAATGCGAATTGATAATGCGTTGTGTGACTTAGGATCTAGTGTTAGCATTATGACTTACTCGGTTTATCAAAGACAAGAGAAGGGAGAACTTTTACCTACCAACATTACAATGAAATTAGCTAATAGATCAATTAGGATTCGAAGGGGTAAGGTGGAGGATGTTCCCTTAAGGGTAGGAAAGTTCATCATTTCTGTAGATTTTGTGGTCCTTAACATAGATGAGGATTCTACAATTCCTATTAATTTTGGTAGACCATTTCTTGCTACTTCGGGTGATTTGATTGATGTAAAAAATGCTATGATTTCACATAAAATTGGAGATGTGCGTGTTGAATTTGATTTGAATGAAAGTATGAAATATCCTTCTTCATCTCTTAAGAATTTAACGAGAGTTGAAATTTTAGACAATCTTGTACATTCCATGCATGAGCACTTGCCCACAACTAATTATCCTCTTGAGTGCGTTTTGTTGAAAAAGGAAAAGATAGGTGCTCCTAGCAAGGAAATGGCTTTATATGAGAATTTTCTAGATGGGAGTGTTGAAGGAAATGATGAGAAAATATGCATGTAAAATCTCAAGCCAAGAGGCTTTGCAAACGGCTTCAACCAAGGAAGGTAAAGGTGTTCCTATGGTAGAGATCAAACCTGTACCATCACACCTAAGGTATGAGTTCTTAGGCATAAATTCTACTTATCCCGTGATTGGTAGTGCATCTTTGTGTGAAAGCCATGCTCAAGCGTTATGCGGTGTTTTGAGAAGGCACCAAGGTGATGTGTGACATTTATGTCACTCTTAGGGAGTAGTTCTAGAGTTATTTCTGTGTTTAAATTCCCTTATTTTCCCTTTTATTCTCTTGTTTTCCTTTTAATAAAGTTTCTAGTTTATTTCTTAGTTTTAGTATGTTTTATTTTAATTTCTTTATTTAATTGGTTTCTAGTTTAATTTTGTATGTTATTTGCTTTCGATTTATTTTATTTCGTTCCTTTTCTTTGTTACTTTCATAGTTTTGATTAGCTTTATGTTTTTTTTGTTATTTACTTTCTTTGCTGTATAGTTTTATTTAATTTTGTTAGTTTTAGTTTATTTTCGTAGTTTATTTTATTTTAATTTATTTCTCGTTTTTCCATTTTTTTCATTGGTTTGATGTGTAGGTGATAGTCAAGGTTCGAGGTTCAATATAATTCTCTCCCCTTCAAGAGCAGCTTGTACTGCCATCTTACCTCCCACCATCTCCTATCCTACACCACACACTCCCTCTCTATTCACCTTATCCTTCACCACAACAAAACACCAAGCTCCCTTGCTCCAATTCACCGAGCTGTTGTGCCCCCTCACAACACAGCTCACCTCTAATACACCAAGCAGCAGCACCCGCTCTCACCACCTAACACAACCACAACCAGACCCCCAATCTCACAACCATAACTCACCCTTCACCAAACCCGTAGTAACAGCACGCTGCACCCCTACCGCAGCAACGATCTTCATCACTACACCAGTTATAGCCACCACCAGCCTCCAATCACAATTCACCTCACCAACACGAGCTGCAACCCAGACCACCTAATTTCATCAATACGACCACCAATTTACAACAGGCCTCACCGCATCTACCAACCATCACAAACCACCTGCACCACCGTCAACAATCAGCACAACCCCGCATCTCCAATAAACACCTGACCACTCGCATCCCACCCACTATCAGCCACTACTACTGCCTCCAATCACCACTGCATATCCCACAACCTTAGCGAAGCAGTCCACCGCAATTACTCAACCATTCAACCAAGCGCCAAAAATTATAGCAAATAGCAAATCAATGGTGTTCGGGAAAACCGCATAGGAGTTCGGTAGAAGTGCCAGTCAGAACTTTCGATGTTTTCTAAATTGAAGAGGTGTGGTCGAACACAATCATGGTTTGACCGAACCAACCCCGTAGTTCAGCCACACCAACCCATGGTTCGATTGAACCATTTCACGAGCTATGCACATGATATTTAATGAGATCAAACAGTTGAGATTGCAGATTGAAGATGATGCTCGATGATGTCCGTTGATGATGGTGTGATACGGTGGTGATGGAGTTTAGAGCAGCCAAGAAATCGAGGAAGAAAAGAAAAGGGTAAGATGTTTTGGAGATTTTGGGGGTTTAATTTTTCCTTTTTCTTTCATTTTATCTCTTTTCCTTTCCCTTTTCTTAGTTCTTTCTTTTATTTTTTATCAATAGTTCCTTTCTTTATTTTTCCTTTTTACTTTATTATCTTTTCTATTATTTACTTAGTATTCTTAGCTTAGTATAAATAGCTAATTTTAGGGTAATTAATTAAAGGAAAACAATTATCAATTATTCTATTTTTCTTAATTAGTTTTTAGGAGAGCTTTTCTCTCTAGGTTTAGCTTAGGATTAGAATAGATTAGAGAGTTAAAGTAAGGGTTTCACCATTGTTGAGCTTGGATATTGAAGTGGAAGATTAATCATCTTGCTTGTAGATTTTCACATTCAATCAATGATAATCTCTAACTCTCTCTCTCTTCTATTTTTATTGCTTTATTTTGATTATTATTTTAGTTGTTGGTATTGTTTAGGGTGAAAATACCCTAAGACACGTGGCCCAATAAAGGCTTGACACGTGTCAATCTTCAAACGGTCTGCAAAGGCCCAATTCCTTTGCAGACACGTGTCCCTTATACCCTAATTGAGGTACAGTTCTCCCTTACTATAAATAGTAAGGGTAGACCTCATTTATGACACATATACATTAATGGCAACCACAAAAAAACCAAACAAAGCCCAAACCTACTGAAACGCTCTCGAACCGAGAAGCTTTTACTGTTCTTATTCCACTTCGAAAAGATACTAACTTAATCTTCGGAGGCGGAACTCCCACCCCCCATCCGGAGTCTCCGTTACTTGTGCAGGTACAGGCGTAAGAAGGAAGTCTGCTAGGTGCAGGTACAGGCATAAGAAGGAAGTCTGCTAGGAAATTGTAACTCTCCCAAAGGACACATAGAAAACCCCCAAACAGGTATTGCTTGTTAATCATGTTGATTCTTGATTATTTTTTAATTAATCTTGTTGTTAGCATGATTAGTGAGTAATTCCCCCATTAAGGGAATGTTTGTGTTGTAGTTGGATCTTGAACATATTCTAGGGTTTAGAATTGATTTATTTGTGATTAAATTCTTTATATGCTTGATATTCTTTAATCTTCTTGCAGGTGCGCATTGTTGGTTGATTAAAGGTGAATCTTTGCTAACAAGGAACAGAAGTTGACTTAGATAGGGTTCATTATTATCGATTGTTATTGAATAGTACCTCCTAGTATATGGTTCTGATGCGGAAGCATAGAGGCTATGTTAGGAGAACCAATTGACCTCGGAAGGCGGCTAAATTGAATCTTTTACTTCGATATTCGAGCATGTTTAGTTCATAATTAATTCAATTTCTATGCCTTTGTTTATGTTCAAGTGAATCCTATACCTAAACCATTTCTCTTAGTGTTTTATTTCTTGTTTTAGCATCTTTAGACTTTAGTTTATTTATCTCCTATTCCGGACTAGCTTAATTGTCGATAACATTTGGTGTTGTTTATTCGTTCACTGTGGTTTGACCCCTATGCTTACCTTATACTCGTATTAGGTTTGTTTAGGTTGTATAAATTGTATTTGATCTAGGAATAGACAATTGACGACGCGTTTATTCCCTTGTCATAAGGTTCTTTGGGATATACCATTGATGACCTCAAAGGTATAAGCCCCACTTTAAGTACACACCACATAACCCTTGAGGAGGGCGCTCTTCTTTCTACTGAGCGACTACGGAAATTACATCCCCAATTGGGAGAGGTAGTAAATAAAGAGATTACTAAGCTTTTAGATGTAGGAATCATATCCCCCTTCTCAAGCTCTAGTTGGGTCTCACCCGTTCATGTCGTTCCAAAGAACAGAGGCATGACCGTCGTCAAGAATGAAAAAAGGTGAGCTTATTCCGACAAGGATGGTCACGGGTTAGCAAAGGTGTATAGATTATAAACGTCTAAAACAGCCACTAAGAAAGATCACTTCCCCCTTCCTTTCATTGATAAAATGTTTGAAAGACTAAAGAGGCACAAGCACTATTGTTTCCTTGATGGTTACTAAGGGTTTTTCCAAATTTCTATACACACCGATGACCAAGAGAAAACTACTTTTACTTGTCCCTATGGTACCTTTTCTTATAGGAGAATGCTATTTGTCCTTTTCAATGCTCCCGCAACTTTCCAACGGTGTATGATGAGTATTATTGGAGACATGATGTAGGAAGAGATGGAGGTTTTTATGGATGATTTTTCCGAAAGTGGAGTTTCCTTTGAGGTGTTCCTTGAAAATCTTGAAAAGTGCTTGGCAAGGTGTGAGAAGGTGAACTTGGTGTCGAATTAGGAAAAGTGCCGTTTTGTGGTTGAAGAAGGCATAGACCTTGGGCACAAAATTTCTCACAAAGGCATATAGGTAGACAAGGAAAAGTTTGAGGTTACTGTAAAGGGTGTGAGATCATTTCTAGGTCAGGCCAGGTTCTATAGAAGATTCATAAAGGATTTTTCTCTCATAGAAAGGCCTCTAAATGATATTCTTCAAAAGGATGTGGAGTTTGTGTTTGATGATTAGTTTTTGGAAGCTTTCAACAAATTAAAGAAAGCTTTGATTTCTACTTCCATTGTCCAAGCCCCTAGATGGGATTTACCCTTTAAGGTGATGTGTGATGCAAGTGACACGAGCATTGGGGGTGTTTTAGGTCAAAGAGTTGATAAAAATCTTCATGTAATTTATTAAATGTCAAAATCTCTTAATGGCTCTCAAAGGAATTACACTACAAAGGAGAAACAGTTCTTCGCGATTGTTCATTCCTTTGAAAAATTTTGTTGCCTTTTGTTGGGGTCCAAAAAAATTGTGTTCACCGATGATGCGGCTCTAAAATATCTTTTCGGAAAAAGGAATTAAAGTCAAGGCTAATTCGTTAGGTGTTAGAGCTTCAAACTTTTGACCTTTAGATTAGAGATAAGAAAGGAGAGGAGAATGTTGTAGCGGATCATCAATCTAGACTTGAGGATTTTAAAGTTCAAGATGATCGGTCTCCCATTGAAGATAAAATGTTAGAAGATTCTTTTTATGCTATAGATGTGAAGGAACTCCCATGGTTTGCCAACTTGGGGAACTATCTTTCTTGTGGGGAGTTTTCTTCTTCATTTTCCAAGAATTAGAGAAAGAAGCTCAAGAGGGAGGCTAGGCATTATGTATGGGTGACGAGTGGAAAACTAGGTCGTTATCTAATCTTCCCTAAGTCAAACTAAATTTATAAACACTTAACAAACCTAAATACGAGTATAGAGGCAAGTCAAAGTTCTAACCCAAAGGAACGGTAATATTCAAATGCTTTTGATTTGGGTGCCTAAGCTAGGTCCAAGACGAAGGTAAGAGAGAATACTAACAACTAACAAAACGAATAACCAAGGATATAAAACACTAGGAACGGGGATCAACAAGTAATCATTTCAATTGCAACAACTTGGAATGATCATGCCAATCAAAGC